TGAGAAATGAGAAATTGGGAAATATCTCTTTATCTTACTTGAAACTACACCAGAAAGGTGTACTGATCAAAACATCATGGTACTGGAATAAGGATAAGATCTCTTGTGTGCTGAAAGTAGATAATGGACCAAATATGATAAGTATCTCAGTATTTGTATTGCAAATCATAATGCCAAAAAGAAGAGAGAGAGTATGGGGAATATTGTCTGCCATGGAGGCAGGGGGAGGGTGGGAAAGGGGGGGTAAACAGGGGATATTGGTGGTGGGGAATGTGCAATGGTGGAGGGGTGGGTGTTTGGTCATTGTATGATTGTAACCCAAACTTGAAAGCTTGTAATTCTCTCACGGAGATTCAATAAAATTTAAAAAAGAAAACAGCAACAAAAAGGATAAGATCTCTGACCAGTTGGCTAGCATTGAATACCCAAAGACAAATCCCAGGTCTATGGCCAACTAATTTTCACTGGGGAGCTGGGTACATAAAGTGGAGTGAAGATAACCTCTTCAACTAATGGTGCTGGGAAAACTGGATAATCAAATTTTTTTTAAATGAAGAAACTTAATTCATATCACACATCTTCCACAAAAGTCAACTCAAAGTGTATCAAAAGCCTTGAAATTAGACCAGAATCTATAAAGTACATTGATGAAAGTAGTGGCAAAATGCCCATAGATTTGGATCTCAAAGATATTTTCAGTGATAGGCTTCTATTGGCAAAGGCAACAAAATCAAAAATAAATAACTGGAACTACATCATATTAAAAAGGGATTTTTGGTTAAAAAAAAACCACAATCTAAAACTAAAAGACATCCAATTGATTGGGAAAAATATTTGCACTGAACACATCAAATAAAGGGTTATATCCAAGAGATATAAAGAATCTTTAAGAAAAGATTAAGTACAATAAAAAGAAAAAACTATCAAAATGTGTGAAGATAAATGGACAATAAGGCACATGAAAAAGTCCTTATCATCACTTATCAAGGAAATCCAAATCAAGACAATAATGACTTATCATTTCACAACACAGTGTATATAAAAACAAACAAAAACTACTGAACAATCTGTGCCGGCAGGGATGTAATAAAAAATGGAGCTCTCATTCATTTCTGGTGGGAATGTTGTCTGTATTTTCCCATATGGAAAGCAATATGGAGATTTCTGAGTAAAGGTAGAGTTGCCATATGACCCAGAAATTCCATTTCTTGGTATCTACTCCCCAGAACACAAAAACATTCATTCAAAAGGATATATTAACACCATTTTTTTATTGCAACACTTAGCACAGTAGATAGTCTATGGAATCAATCTAGACAGGTGAGTATATAATAAAGATCCTGTATATATACACAATGGAATGCTATGAAGCTGCAAGAAAGGATGAAATTATGCAATTTGTTGCAACTCAGGTGGAAATAGAAAATATGTTAAGCAAAGTAAGTCAGAAGAAAGACAAGCACTGGATAGTCTAACTTATCCGTGGTATCTAAAAGAATAGGTACCTAATAGAAAAGCAGGACAAGGGAGTGGAAGGAAAATACCTAAATTATCCCAGTCCTTTGATTATATAACTGAGAACAAGGAAAGAAATAACCAGAATTACTGATGAGCAGCTAAAATCACTCAAGGAACCAGGTGCTCATACCAGTCTGACTCAAGGATTTTGTCTGAGGCCAGCAAGCCTATGCAGTGTCGCAAAACAAAACAGGTCTTGTGCAGGCCTGCTCACATCTACCAACTGTGGACAATATAATGGCCTAAAACTATTAATTCATTAGAAAGATATACATATGCTGTGGGTGGAGATGTATGTATAAAGTTTCATGTACAAGTGGATTCTTAAAACAAATCTCAATTGACAAGTACCACCCATACCGAGCGATCTTTTAGAAACTTTCAGTTTTGAATTTGTGGCAGGGCACTGCCTTAGGTTGATAGCTCAGGCCCTCACCTCATGCAGCCTCTGGAAAATGCCACTTCACATGAAAGGCTTTACTGAATCTTGATGTTGCCAATAAGGATAAGACAACAGATGCATGGACCAATGGAGACATCTCCTGGCACTTCTGCTCTGTCTTTCACCTCCTGTGTCCCCACTGGAGGGAACACTACCTCACATCATAGATTCAAATCTGCACTAATTCTCAAGCTTACTTTATATTTTACATATTGGAGATGCTGTGCCATGTCTGGGACTCCTAGAAAGCAAAGACACAGCATCAGTTCTCAGTTCCATGGAATTAAAAATCAAACAGTTTCCAATTAATCATAACACTTCATCCAGTCATTGTTCTCATCTAGATGGCTATTTCCTCACCATCAACCCTGAGTGGCTACTCCTGTTCTGGATTCTGGACAGAGAAATGCAGGCCTAGAGCACAAGAAGGTATTCTATGAGCAGAACTAAAGGTGTCCCTGCAAAATAAGAAAGCAACAAATTCTCTGATATAAAACAATGAAGAAAAAATAGGCAAGGGATATTTGAGTATGAAAAGTATAAGCAAAAGAAAAAATATAATTAAAATAATTAAATGAACAAATAATGTCAACAATAAAGATTATAGAGCATGGGAGATAGAACCTAAGCTAGAGTGCATATACATGACCCCAGTTCAATCCCCAGCACCCTGAGCATTCTTGAGTATAGCCTTTGAGGCCTATAAGTACTGAGAACTACAAGTTGTGAATCCAGTCATCTGTAAGCACTATTTGGATGGTGTGGTGGTCCTCAGCACTCCATTCTCAGACCTTAGCACTGAAGTGCCAGCTCATTTGGCCAAGAATTGCTGGGGATGGCTCATGGATCCTCTGGGGACAGCTATGGAGTGCATCTGACTCCCAAGCAAAGTAAGCAAAAGTATAGGGTTCTCAATAAGCTGATCTAATTTAAGTACCTACATACATATTTTCCTTATGACTTTAGCTAGTCTTTGTTTTTTACAAAACATGTGATGCTTAAATATTTTTAAAATTCTTTTGCTTTGTTTGGGGTCACATCCAATGATTCTCAAGGCTTACTTCTAACCCTGTGCTCACGGATTACTCCTGGCAAGTTTGGTGTACCATATATGGCATCAGGGACTGAACCCTGGTCAGCTGCATATATGATAAGTGCCTTATCTGCTGTACTTTCTCTGGCCCCATATTCTTCCAAATTGTTATGATCACTACTACAAGTAATTTAAATTATCTTGAAATTCCTATATTGAAGTTCTAATTCAAAACCTTAAAAAGTGGCTATATTTAGAGAGTGTCTTTAACTAGGTCATAAGTTAAAATGGGGTCCTATGTTTGATACCTAACCCAACAAAATTTATGAACTGATTGGAAAAGTAGATGACAACATGGGCAGACACAGAGATGACAGCTTCAGAGAAGACAGTCACCAGCAGACAAAGGAAAGAGACTTCAAAACAAATCAGCCTTGAAGGACACCTTGATGCAAGGCTGTAAACCCATCCTAATTCTACTTTTCCTCCATCTCTTCCATACATTACCTGCCCTTTAGCATGTTTTCCTTACAGGTTGGTTCTAGAGCTAAACACAGGATGCCCGGAAAACTTCTCTGAGACAGGTCTAGCAGCCTGGTTTTGTCACATCTCCGAAATGTCTTGTTACAGCCTCAGTCACACCTTTGTGGAGTCACGTGAGGGTTCCTGAAAGGCTACAATCTGCCTGCATCCCCAACAGATTTGAGATAGCAAGTTTTTCCTTAGCCCTATTCATTGGCTTTTTCTGGATAAAGAACTAGAGGTTACATTTGGTTACATTCATCCTCATCTTCTCTTCATATTCTATTCTAGATCAGTGCCTATATTACTCTGAGCACCTGAAAGCTTCCACTTGCATCTGGAAGGGGAGACAGCAATGTGGGTGTCCTCCATGCAGATGTGCTTTGGGGTAATGACTCGCATTACATAAAGGGAGTCTGAATAGACAGTGACCATTACCTCTAACATTCTCACTCACTGGGGGACCCCACTGTGGGGTGGCCAGGATCACCTAGGTCCCTGCATGGAATAGGGGAACAATTAGGATTAAGACTTCATACTTGCCCAGGCTGCTTCCTAGATCACAGGCCCTTTCTAGGGTCTCCAACAGCAGACAGAGCTATCAGAATCACCTCAATTTCGGTAGGCAGTTTCAGGGTTTGTACTCACAATTTTGCACTTAGTGCCTAAAGACACTAAGCCCTCTCTGTGCCTGTAAACATCTATTTTTTCAAATTTTATCAAAGTAATTAATATCAGGGCTGGAGCGATAGCACAGCAGGTAGGGCATTTGCCTTGCACGCAGCCAACATGGCCGACCTGAATTCGATTACTCCGCCCCTCTCGGAGAGCCTGGCAAGCTACCAAGAGTATCTCGCCCACATGGAAAAGCCTGGCAAGCTACCCTTGACGTACTCGATATGCTAAACACAGTAACAACCAAGTCTCATAATGGAGACATTACTGGGCCCACTCAAGAAAAATCAATGAACAATGGGAGGACAATGACAGCGACAGAATTTTAATATCAGGGCGTGGACTGAGTCCCAGCGGTCATCACTGCCAGTGGGACTGCAGCTCCCTAGTCATTATCACCCGCCTTCAACAGTCCCAGAGTGATTTTGCAGCTTTCTATGCCCAATACCTCTCTGGCAAGCAGAGTACCACAGCTGCTGTGTGACTCTTAGAAGGGAACTAGTGACCCCAACACAAAACAAAGACACACCAGGACACCTCCTGGTTCTATGATGAGGTCCCCACCTAGGGCCAGATATCTGTCCTCCAACTCCAGTACAGTCTTTTTCATTGACCAAACTCTGCAACTGAATGGAATTACATTCAAACTTAATGAAAGTTTGAGAACGCATATTAAGCAACTGTTTAAATTGAAAAATATTCCACTTGAGGTAATACAGATAACAGTCACAAGAACATAGTGATTTAGAATAAACCACTATTCTAAAGAACAGTGAGGACAAATTGATATTTCAAGAGGAGGAAACTTACCACATAGCAGAACAGTCAAAATTCACCAACAGCCACTTGTGGGGATTAAAATTAAATGAATCTGCAAACTGTCAAGGAAGAATGACAATAACAAAAAGATACTTTAGTTATTAATAGCAGGTATAAAACTATCTCTGATGCATAATAATGAACAATGCATTTTCTCAAATGAAACAAAGTTATCTATACAGAAGAAAAAAAGTGAACCAAAAGTGAAGATGGTGCATGAGAGTGACTGGAGAAGTCTGGACCCTGGAATGTAGTAAAGCTGAGCCCTGACTTGTCTGAACCCCTTTATATGTAAAATTTTCAAGATGGAATATCTAATCATCCTTCCTGAAATATGAATTCAATGTACAAAGAATATATTTTAGAATCAGAAAATCACAGTTCATACCTAGCTCAATTTCTTGTTCCCTATTCAGTAGAATAGGAATATTTGCTTTGTGGATAAGTTGTATAAAATTGCTGCACATATTCTCAGCCTACTTTCTGACAAGGACAAAAGATTCGGTGTGAATGCTCTAAGTTGCTGGTCTGTGGTGGATTAGATCAGTAGGGTAAAATCTCCAGGTATTTGTAGAATAAAATCGTGACTGCTGATGTCCCATGGCTCAAGGATAAGTGGGAGGTCTGGCAAGAGTGCTCATCAAATACAACCGGACAACAGTCAATGGATGGTCAGGTTGTCCTACGCCTGGACGGTCCCTGATTACTGTGGATCAATTATATAATTTTTTACTTTCCAGTTGTTTATGATACATATCTTGCAAGAAATTGGTTATTTCTAAAAACTGAGGGAACGATAGTTATAAAATATTTCATAGACCCAAACAGTACAATTTCTAGGGATTGCAAATATGATTTAATGTTTTGATTATAACAGCTACTTGGTAGTTTCAAGTAGAATATGAATAATTTTGTGTGACTTCAATTTCTGAAAGTTTGAAAATCTGAGCATAGAATATTAGTAATAGCATCATACTTTTTGAAGAAAAGTAAATTTCTGAATTTTTCCAATTAAAAATGAAAAGAAGGAGGAGGAGGAGGAGGAGCAGGGTGAGCAGGGGAGGAGGAGGGGAGGAGAGGAGGAGGAGGAGGAAGAGAAAAAAGGAAAGAAGAAAGAAGGAGGAGGAGGAAGAAGAAGAGGAAGAAGAAGAGGAAGAAATTCCAGAGCAACCTAACAAGAATTTGCCGAGCTCAATTCTGTTCATCTGTCAGATGATGCCTACACCATTAGCAGCTTGAAGCTCCTTGACTCTTTATTTCTTTTACCTCTTTGTTGTATTATGTTTTGGGGCCACACCTGACAGTTCTCAGTTCCTAGCACTGAATTCAGGGATCACTCCTGGTGGGTTCGTGGACCATATAGGTGCCCGTGATACAAACCAGCTAGCCATGTGCGAGGCAAACTCCCTGCCCTCTTGTATATCTGTCTGGCTCCATTTCCTTGACTATGCTATTATTGGTATTCTATGTCTCACGTTTTCAAATTTCCAGAAATTGAAATTATACAAAATTATCCATGTCCTATTTGGAAATACCACAGTAATTGTAATAATCAGAATATTGAATCATATTTGCAGTACCTAGAAATTGTACTGTTGGGTCTATAAAATATTTTATACCTGTCATACCCTAAGTTTTTAGAACTAACCAATTTTTTGCAAGATATGCATCTAGGAAAGTAAAGATTATGGGATGGATCCACAGTAATCAGGGATCATCCATTTTCATCTGTTTGGTTTAATTCTTTTTAAAAATAATAATATACCTACCAACAGCTTTTCCCATTTTTCGAAATATTTTCTTCTTACGGGCTGGAGCGATAGCACAGCGGGTAGGGCGTTCGCCTTACAAGCGGCCAACATGGCCGACCCGAGTTCGATTCCTCCGCCCCTCTCGGAGAGCCCGGCAAGCTACCGAGAGTATTCGATATGCCAAACACAGTAACAACAAAGTCTCCAATGGAGACGTTACTGGGCCCGCTCGAGCAAATCGACGATCAACGGGAGGGCCTTTACCTTTACCTTACCTTTTCTTCTTACACTATCAATAGTACAATAGTATTATCAATAGTACAACAGATAGGAGACTTGACTTGCATGCGACTGACCTGGATTTGATCCCCAGCACCCCATATGGTCCCCCAAGATTGCATGAGTAATCCCTCAGCATAGAACCAGAAGTAAACCCTGAGAGCACTAACAGGTATGGTCCAAAACCTAAAAAATATTTTATTTACTTTCGTATGATATCAAACATTGTGTTCCTAACATATTGTTGGGAGTTGGTAGTAGCAAACAATTGGCTATCTAGCTTCATGCATCAATTTTAAGAACCACCATGTTTTCAAGCAGGAAACAAGGGATTTCATTTAGCAAAGGTGACTGAGATTAACTGTATGCTGTGCTCGTGAGGCTCAGGCTTCAACATCCCCCCCCCACACACACACACACACAAACCAGAAAGACAACTCTATGTTCAGTGAGTTGCCATAGTGCTGAGCTCTTACATTTTTCAAAATGACTCTTTGGTTTATCCTGACAGTCTAGCAATAAGCCACAGGAATAAATGAAGCTAAAATTAAGAACAAGTCTGGCTGAATCTCTTGAAAAAGTTTTTTGCTTTGGTTTTTGGGCCATAGTAGTACTCTGGGGCTACTCCTGACTCAGTGCTTGGAACCTTTTCCTACCAGAGTTCAAGCTATTTCTCTGATACTTAAGGGGAACTTTAAGATGTTCTCAAGTGCTGTTCTCTTCTTCTCTATGCATTCAAGAGGCAGGAAGAAAACAAGACTAGAGAGGGTAACAGTTGGAGGTGGGAAGAGAACAAACACGATGCCCATTTGGTCAGACGATGGCAACCTTGAGTCAACCTGTCCTGGGCAGCAGCTTCATTTCCTTCCAGGTTTCAATAAAAGTAATTTTGAGAAAGAGACAGGAAATTACAAAAAGAACGAGTGTTTGCTGATAAAAGGGAACAAAAGGTTAAAGAAGAACTTTGTTTGCTAGAAATTTTATTAAATCTCTCCTAGAGGGCTAATCTGTTTAAACTTCTTTCATTACCTAACTGTGATATTTTCCTTCTGCTGACAAAGAGAAAAAAGGTTCTTATCTCTAGGGCAGGGCTATAACAGGATATTGCAATACCCTTATCTGACCAGCTGAGCAGCAAGGCCCTTCATTAGGCAAGGAAAGAGTCAGTAATAATAAAAGAAGAATGGAAAGAACTCATTGTTTGGTATGAAATCCTGTCTGCTGATGATATAATCTCCTTTAGTGCTCACTGCAGAAGCCTGAAAATTGGAGTCCCCCTACGAAAGATGAAACCCAGTGGTATAGGTTTATGAGGAATAAATTAGTAGTAGGAAAAGCACATGAAATCCTAAACCTGATAGTTAGAATGTAGCATCTAGCCTTACCAAGCCTTGTGAGAGGGATGGGATGCTTCCCTTCTTCCCTTGGTCTGCAGGGATAAACATTCCTGGTAGTGTGTAGCATCTCCGTAACTATCTATCTATCTATCTATCTATCTATCTATCTATCTATCTATATATATATGTGTGTGTGTGTGTGTGTGTGTGTGTGAAGGTGTGTGTGTGTAAACATATGTTTATGTCTGTGATACAGAGATTTATTCTTTATCAGTACCAAACACAAACACCCACACAGAAGTCAGAAGCTGGAGTATTAACATCAACATCCAATTTTTAGAATTTTTCTCAACTATACTCTTCTCAGTATTTGTGGAAGCCTTCGAAAATGTCTGTATATATATATATATATATATATATATATATATATATCAATGGATCAGAGAGATAGCCCAGTGAGAAATGCTTGCCACTATTTTTAAGTTGCCTTGCATGTAGCCAACGTGCATTTGAACCCTGGCACTGCATATATTCTCCAAGCACTGCTAGGAATGATCCCTGAGAAGAGTGCTAGATGTAAGCCATGAATAAAGCTGTATGCAACTCAAAAACCAAACAACAAAAACAGAAGTATACCAAAACAGATCTAAGCTGTACTGTGTATTCAGAGATTCAAGTAATTATTGAACAAACAAGTGGCTAAATGAATCAATTTAACAGAAATATAAATCAGACTACAACCTAATTAGTAAAAAAAAAACAGTGATTATTCTTTTTCAAACATGGGAGAATTTGTATTCTATATTGCTGACTCATTTTTCTGATATTGCAGCATTATGAAGATTCAAATTAGTAATTTGGAAATCTATTGTTAAGCATACCATGAGAAGAGAGAGAAGTTTTGAGTGACAGATTCTCCAGAGAAAACATAATCACAGCATTTAATGTATGCACAATTCCAACTATACAGCTTACGCCAGACACTATTTTTAAGCTCCTTAAATATGATTAGTTCCTTACAATAATAGCCTCTGAAAAGAGGGATCATTACAGAATTCATTTTTGTAAGGTGCAGAGAGGATGCTTAACCTGCCCAAGGGGACACAGTCAAGCCCAGGGTAATGCTGGATTTGAACAATCAGTTGAATTTGAGATTGAGGACTGAGCTCTCAATTCTTGCATTGCAGATGCACAAGGTCTCATCAGACCCTCCCATCCCCACCCAAATAGAAAACCCAATATTCGGCCTGCATTAAGTCCTGGCCTCTCTGTCAAGGTCAGCCTCTCTGACCTTTTGCATTTACATCAGGGTTCCTGACAAGGAAGAATTCTTGGCCTTGGAGCTGCAATCAGTGGTGTAAAGGGTAGAGTGTTGACTTCCCATTTTCAGACCTCTGATTGAATAATCACCTCCTCAGAGTGCTTAACAAGGAATGTCTTAGTTTGACAATACTGTGCAGAGGTAGAATATTAGTTGAAATATTTGATTGCTTTTTCTCAAAAGAAGTAAGTAATTTAGTGGGCATTGCAGACAACCTCTTACACATTTTGGAAGTGCCATCAGATATTTAAATGAGTTAAGGCTGTCATATTGATTACATTTAAATATCTTCTTTGTTGCATGGTCAGAACATAACTATCAGACAGAGTCAAATTATATAGAATTGCAAGCCTAAATTGCCCTTTAAATTATCCTTTAATCTAAAATGCATTGAGATTTAATCTTGTTCCTAAATATATTTCCAGTTTCATAAGCTAAAATCTATCTTATAGTGCTAGCTAGTCCCAGAATTTGAGCAAATTGGAAAACAGCGTCAAGTATTAAGAGCTAGACTGTATAGCCAGTTTTCAGGATGTTCTAAGGAAGTATAGTATTCAATGATCACTGGAATTGATGTGGAAAAAACTTGCTAAAATAAGTCACAAAGGTGAGTTGACATGAACCATTGAATTGAATACACATACTTATGAGAGTCAATGATAACATAATAATAGCATATAGACAAAAAATAACAAAATCCAATTGTATTAAAGACCAAATATTGCACCCACCTCTACTCCATTCAGAAGATGCCGGAACTCAGGACAGATGAAGGAGCTGCCTGCATAAGCAGCATCAATGTGCAGCCATAGATTCTCCTGGTTACCTAGTGTTCAGAGGGACAGTGAGTCCTCAAATAGTTTACCTCGTCAATTAGCTCTGATAGCTAAATTTATCCTATCCCAGTGTCCTATCACATCAATGGTATTTATTGGCTCTGAATGCTTAAGCAGTGTCTATCCTCAGAAGGCCACAAAGCTGAGGGTAGACTTTGCAGACCGAGGTTCCACAGGGGTGCCTGGAATTTGTGGAATTCAGTGAATTTGTAGAAAGTTAGAAGAAATAGAAAAATTGTACATCTTGATTTTTAAGGCTGGTGTACCTGCTTAGGATGACTCCAAGTAACCGGTATCTCCAACACCAGGCTATCTCTCCATAATACTAATCCAGTTACCCTATCTGTCTTTGTCTTGCCCTTTTTTGCCCCCCATCTGAATTTCCTCCCACCTCTCTCTGCTAACCATCCTGAAGTCCTTCCCACAAGCACCATGGAGGAGGTTCAGTAGAGAATGCACAGGATTCTATTTGCCTGACTCAGTCCCCATGTAATGAAGGTCTTTTATTTTATAGTCTGAATTATCCTCAACTCCTTTTGTGAATAGGATGTTTACTTCCCAAATATATTAGGACCATATTTTTGGGGAAAGTGGCATGGTTTACCATTTATGCGTACTTCCACAAAAGATACTGCATGATAGACATACAATAAGAGACTGCTGTCTGAAGTATAAAAAGAACTCATATAACTCAAAAGAAAGAATATAAAAGTGCCAACAACAACAACAAAAATGGTCAGGGGATTTTAACAGACCTTCTCCAAAGAGGACATAAAGATGACTTACATAGAGCTGGAGCGATAGCACAGCGGCAGGGCATTTGCCTTGCACGCAGCCAACATGGCCGACCCGAGTTCGATTCCTCCGCCCCTCTCAGAGAGCCCGGCAAGCTACCGATCGGTATCTCACCCGCACAGCGATATGCCAAACACAGTAACAACAAAGTCTCTAATGGAGACGTTATTGGGCCCGCTGGAGCAAATCGATGATCAACGGGAGGGCCTTTATCTTTACCTTACCTTTACATATGAAAAGATGTTCAAAGAAATGCAAATGAAAAACACATTGAAATGCTTCTTCACAGCTGTGAGAATGACTTACATTCAAAAAGTAACTTCTAAAACATAAGCAAAACCCTTCACAACATTGAAGCCAAAGGCATCTTCAAAGATGAAATGCTACTGACCAAGCAAGTGGAAGCAAAGATTAACAAACGGGACTACATTAAACTAAGTAGCTTCTATACCTCAAAAGAAACAGTGATCAAGATACAAAGAGAGCCCATGGAATGGGAAAAAACGATTCACTCAATACCCTTCAGATACACTGTAGCACTGTCCTCCCATTGTTCATCGATTTGCTTGAGCGGACAACAGTAATGTCTCCATTGTGAGACTTGTTGTTTCTGTGTTTGGCATATCAAATATGTTACTGGTAGCTTGCCAGACTTTGCCATGCAGGTGCAATACTCTTGGTAGCTTAATATCAAAGATATACAAAGCACTGGTAGAATTATACAAGAAAAAAAGCATCAAACCTCATAAAAAATGGGGAGAAGAAATGAATAGAAACTTCCTCAAAGAAGAAATTCAAATGGTCAGCAGGCACATGAAAAAAATTCTCTTCATCACTAATTATCAGAGAGACACAAATCAAACAAACAGTGATATATCATATCATACCACAGATAGAACACATCCAAAAGAATAAGAATGACAGTGCTGGCTCAGATGAGGGGAGAAAGTGACTCTAATTCATTGTTGGTGGGAATACCAAGTGGCCCAGCGTTTGAGTTCCCATTTGCCATTTGACCCAGAAATATCACTTCTGGGAATATACCCTGGGGGTCCAAAAACACACAGCAGAAACACATCTGCACTTCTATGTTCACTGCAGCACTATTCACAATAGCCAGAATCTGGGAACAATTTGAGTGCCCAAGAACAGACAAATGGATAAAGAAACCATGGTATATCTACAAAATGGAATACTAGGCAGCTGTTAGAAAGAATGAAATAATGAAATCTTCTTATAAATGAATGGACATGGAGAGTATCATGCTGAGTGAAATGAGTTGGAGAGGAACAGACAGAATGACCACATTCATTTGTGGGAAACAAAAAATAGTATGAGACTAATAACTAAGGCCAGAGAAAACAGGGGCCATGAAAACAGGTCAGTGGTTGGAATATACTGCCAAGTGTGTGGGGAGCAGAGGGTAATTAAGATAGAGAAGGGACTGGAATGACAATAATAGCTGGAAATGATCATGCTGGACAAGAACTGAGTATTAAAAGTAGGTAAAGGAATATATACAACAACCTTTCCGTATCTATATTGCAAACCACAGTGCAAGAGAGAGAAAGAGAGAGAGAGAGAGAGAGAGAGAGAGAAGTGCCTGCCATAGGGGTGGGGTGGGGGGGCTGATGGAAGGGCAACTGGGGACACTGGTACTGGGAAATTACACTGGTGGAGGGATGGATGTCAAAACACTGTATGACTGAAACCTAATCATGAGCAGCTTTGTAGGGTCTATCTCACAGTGATTCAATAAAAAAATTCTTAAAAATTGAAAAAATAATAAAATTTAAATGAATCCTGAGTGCACAATCAGCAATGAGCCCTGAGCACCTCCAGTGTGGCCCCAAAACAAACAAAAAGAACTCACTTTCAAAGGAAATCCATAAGGTTTAGCAACAGATTATTAAATAATACTCTATAGGCCAGAAATTAATGGGGAGATCCAGTAAAGAAGCTGAATGAAGGGAACATCTTACCAAGAATACTTTATCCAACAAGATTATCACTCCATGCATGACTTTGTGACTGAGAACTCTGGGTTCAATGGGACCGGAACTGGAGATCCCCTGCCCGTATCTCCCTGTCTCCAGCAACTCAGCAGTCATACCCATAAGCTACCCCTGGCTGGTGCCAGATAATCTCATCATCAGCAACCATCCAGTTTGCATGTCCATCTCTCCCGGAAGGGAGCATAATATGACACCATAACCATGCCACCAGACCCCACACCAGGCTGTTTCACTCAGGCGCCCGGGGGGGAGGGGGTGGGGGGAACCTGCCCCACCCCCAGCGACCCAACCCCAGCAACCAGAAACCTCCAGAACTCAACCATTGCCATACTCACAGCCATTCTCCACTTGCTCGGGCCGAATTTCACCCACAAGTGAATTTTCCTAGACTGCACAGCCACATTTGCGACCACACAATACTTAATAGGACACATGCTACCCCTACTCCAAGAGGGCTGCACCACATTTGATGGGATTCAACTAGTTGTAGGAGGCAACTAACCTTAGAGGGAAATATATGATTTCAGTTCTGCTTTGGGGCAGGGATTGGGGTTTGGGATGGAAACACAAAATATGGTGGTGGGAAGGTATAATGGTGGTGGGATTGGTGTTTGAATATTAAATGTAATCAAATATTGTGAACTACTTTATAAAATAAAAAAATTTTTAAAAAAGATTGTCACCCCAATATGGAACAATGATACAAAATTTCTTGGACAAGCAATAGTTTAGGAAATTCACAACCTAAAAACTAGTTTTAAAGGAAGAATTAAAGAAGTTTATTGGTTTTTTTTATGACTTTGGGGACACAATGGTGATGATCAGGAATTACTCTTGGCTCTGGACTCAGGAATCACTCCTGACAGTGCTCAGGAGATTATATGGGATTCCAGGGATCTGACCCAGGTGTGCATGTGGAAGGGAAGAGCCTTACCTATATTATCTATCTGGTCCCGAAGGAACGTCTTTATTTTTTTAATTAAAAAATTTTTTAACTGAATAAGTGATATACCTGTTACAAAGTTGTACACGATTGTGTTCAGTCATATGATGTTCAAGACCCATCCTTTCACTAGTGTACATTTCCTACAACCAATGTCCCCAGTTTCCCTTGCCTCCCTCCACCTGCCTCTATGGCAGACTCTTCTCTCTCTCTCTCTCTCTCTCTCTCTCTCTCTTCCTCCTTCTCTCTCTCCTCTTTCTCTCCTCTTTATTTTTTGGGAGGGACTTATGGTTTGCAATACAGATAATGAAAGGTTATCATGTATATCCCTTTATCTACTTTCAACACTCAGAGGAACTTCTTTAAAAGTCAAGACAAATTTCACAATGATTTACAAAATTAATTACAAAATTAATTTACAAAATTACATTTACAAAATGATGCAATAAATTCTTTAATCTCAATATAATAGCTCAAAGTCAATAAACAACTTACTAGTCAAAAACAGAGTGTCAGTCTGGATCAGAAGCCTGAATCCATCATTCTGCTGTCAAGAAGAGACACACCTGAACAGTCACGGTAAGCATGGACTCAGATAGAAAGGAGACTAGAAAATAATTCTATAGGCTGACAATTCCTTCAGAGAGGCTCCCATTGTTCATTGATTTGCTCGAGCTGGCCTAGTAACGTCTCCATTTTGAGACTTGTTGTTACTGTGTTTGGCATATTGAATACATCACAGGTAGCTTGCCAGGCTTTGCCGTGTGGGTGAGATATTCTCGGTAGCTTCCCGGGCTCTCTGAGAGGGGTGGAGGAATTGAACCCAGCTTGGCCGGGCTGGCTGCACGCAAGGCAAATGCTCTACCGCTGTGCTATCACTCCAGCCCAGAGACGCTAGAGTGGCCATAATTAAATCAGACAACGTGGACTACTTCAAATTTAAAAAAACAGGGAGGATCATTTCCAAGGATAAATACAATAAGAACTCACACTCCTAAACATATGAAGGTCCATAAAAGTATTTAAAACAACTGGTAACTCACAGGAAGAAAGACACTAACAGTAACATGATTAATAGTAGACTTTAATACTCTTCTTTTACTGCTAGACAGATCATCTGGGGAAAAGAAACTTAAGGAAACAATGACCCTAAAGGAACAATTAGAAGATCTGAGCATAGCAGACATATTGAGGTTAGCCAGAAGAGGGATAGAAATAGAATGATCTCTCAGGTCTT